AGCAGCGGCGCTGCGGGCCCCCAAACCAAACAACGCAGCTACGGCGTCGGCACAAACGAACTTCGATGCCGACTGGACGGAGGCTGACTCCAGGCAGCAAACAGCATGCGCTGCCCTCTCAGGCAAGCGACGGGGGGTAGGCCTGGCTGCCGCACGACTAGAGGCGCGTGAAGCATGCGCCCCAGCAGACGAGGTCACGGCACAGGTGCTGGCAGCAAAGCACCCTGAAACTGGCACCCGGCCCGGGGTAGTCGATACGCCAATGGAGCAAGTGCGCGGCCTGGTACGCGACGCCCGGCGGCACTGCTTGCACGGCGCAGGGGTGGCAACGACCGCCGGGCCCGCTGGCAGCGGCAGTCCCGTCTTCGAATCGGGTCAGGCGCATGATCGCAGCGATAGGCCTGAGGATGCTGCCAGCGCAGCCGGACGGCGCCTCGAGGTGGAGGCGACAGACATACTGTCGACCTTGTCCGCAGCAGGGGCGGGGAAGGCAGGAGGGCTGGACGGCCTACGCTATGAACACCTCTTGATGGCCGCTGGGCCTGGTGCACCAGTGAAAGCAGCCACCCGCCCCGTGGGCAGTGCCTCGCCAGGACTAGCTGGTGATTCAGAATCGGATGTGATGGAACCGGCATTCGCCCATCACCTGGCCAAGGTGTTCACGACGCTGCTTGTTGAGCCCGAACTGCTGCCGGAGCAATCGCAACGGCTTCTCCGCGCCGCGGCCCTCTCAGGCATAGGACAGAAGCGGCGTCCGATCGCCTGCTCCAGTGTCTGGCGCAGACTCCTCGGGTCCACAGCGGCACGGAGTGTCAAGGGCAAAATATCGGGGCTGCTGGCCTCCATGTCGCAGTTTGGCGTAGGATACCGGTCTGGCGTCGAGCATGTGGCAGCGCGCGCGCGCGTGTGGCACGAGCTGTATGGCACCACAATCCAGCTGGACTGTGAGAACGCATTTAACAGTGTGGATCGCGCCGCCATTGTGCGGGGACTTATGCTCTTCTGTCCGGAGCTGCTCCCGCACTTTGAGTCCGTATACTGTGGTGACACTGCCCCAGAGATGCGAGTGGAGGTGAACGGTGAAGCTCGCATTATCTGCTCCCACCTAGGGTGCCAGCAAGGGGACCCTCTAGGGCCGCTGTACTTTGCAGTGGCAGCGGCCTTCCTACTCTTCTACCCTGATGGAGTGAATGCGACGCCCGGCAGTATGCCGGCCTACGGCCACAGCACAGCGGAACCGCCAGCCCCGCACTGCGCTTTCCTGGATGACCTCAACGTGCTGCAAGCTGCCTACTTCGACGATGCAGCGGCCGCTGGGGTGGCAGAGGTGATCCGTCGGCTTGCGGCAGGGGGCCTACGCGTTCGACCAGACAAGTCGCTGGCCATCGCCATGCGCGGCACAGTGTTTGATGAAGCGGCCAGAGCACGCCTGCGCGCCCTTGACATACCGTTTGTGGACGCCACCATGCCAGAATCCAGTCAGGGCTTTACGTCGGTCGGGGTACCGGTAGGGCACCCAGCCTATGTGCATGCTGCCATGAGCAAGCATCTTGTTGACGCAGGGACATGGCGATTGTCGTGGCAGCTAGCTGGAATGGCGCGGCATCACCTACAGGCAGCACAGTTCATTCTGCGCAGGTCACTGACGAAGCGCATGGGCTTCTTAGCTCGGGTCGTTGACACGGCTTTGAGTGAGACATGGCTGCACGCATTTGACGGGTTCTGTGCATGGACGCTTGAACGCATGCTGCACCTGCACGGCTGCGCTACCGCGGCAGTCATGAAGTCACACCTGCTGGCCGCCTGCACTGCTGGTGACAATGAGGAAGCCAGCAGTGGCAGCGTGCTGGTATTGCCGCGCTTGGGCCCGCCAGAACTCACGGACATCGCAGTGCCACTGCGGGCGTCACGGTTGCCGGAGCGACGAGGCGGTCTGGGCATGCCGCTTTTGGGGCTACTGGCACCAGCCGCATACACGGCCCAGGCATGCACAACACTGCGGCCTGCAATAATTCATGCCACTGTGGCAGCAGGGGCCCTGAGGCTCGGCACTGACGAACACGGCGCAGTCACCTGGTTCGCGCAGCACTCATGCGCAATACGCGAGGACCAGGGACTGCCGCCAATCATCGAGGCCGTGCGACGCTCTACGCGAGCGCTGACAGCTGATGGCGGCGAAAAATCACGCACAGCTGTGGCCGAGCAGCTCCCAGCATCGTTGCTACGGTGGGCAGCAGATACAACGGCCGCAGCGTCGACGCTCCCCACTGCGGTGCAAGCGATCTACGCCGCAACTGCCGTCACGGAGACGGGGACCACTGAGCCAGCCCCACACACCCACGGCATTGTGCCTGGCGCCGAGGCGGCCGCTGCGGCGGCGACCGTACCTGGCCCTCAAGCCGCTGCCGCGGCTGCCTCTTCCACCGCCCGCTAAAACACAAACTAGCGCGGAAGAAAGCAGCTGCAGCGGCGGGCAGGAGGACGACGACGACGACTGGGAGGCCTATGCTGACGAGATCTGCAGGAAGGTAGTGCCCCGCCGCCGGCGCGGTCACTTCACGCACGGACTACAAGCCGGCCTTTCAAATGTTCTTCGAAGTCAATACGAGGACTGCCTGGTGGAGGACCTAGAGGCTGCCTCGGCTGGTGCCGTGGGCAAGCCGACGCAGGCTACACTTATTGGTGACTCACGTGACACCAGTCGCCGCCGCCAACAGGCTAGCGCGCGGGTCCTGGCGCAGCTGCGCAGCCAGCGTGCGTCCGGGGCAATGGCGTGGATGAGCGTGCCGTCCGCTGCCAATGACCGCCCGGGTGCGGCGCCCATGTCCAGTATGGCAGCAGCCACGATGATTTTGGTTGCGATCTTTATAGACGGGTGGGGCATACAGGGCGAGGTGTGCCCATGGCGGTGCAGTGACGTGAGCCCCACCTCCACGCATGCGATCAGCTGCCCCAGCCAGCACATACGGGGGCATAACGCGACACACACTGCCCAAAAGCGGTGCCTACAGCGCATCTTGAGACAGCACTATGTCTCTATTGTCCGCAATGAGGACGCTAGCGTCTTCAAGGTACCGGGGTATCGGGCGGACACAGTCATTGACCCAGGGTGTCTGCACTGTAGCAGTGCATACCGTAACAAGGGAATAGTGCTAGACACAAGTGTGCGCGCGCCCACAGCGAGCTCGTACCTGACAGGCAAAACAAATGCCTCGAACACGGACGGCTATGCTGCTGGGGTGGGGGAGGACGCGAAGGTCAAGCACCACACCGGCACCTTGACGTCATCTTGGGCTTTTGTGCCATTCGTGCAGGAGTCGTACGGACGGCTGGGCAAGCAGACAAGCCTTTTTGTTAAGGAGTTGGCAATGCACTCAGCACTGTGCTCAGGGGGGGGGGAGGCAGATGTGTTACGCAAGGCCGGGTTAGCTAAGCGTCAGATCCACATTGAGCTGAGCATATCGCTGGCGCGGGAGTTGGCGGAGCGCGTCATGGCATACACACGTGGAGCGCGAATGCTGGGCTGTGTTGCGGCGCCGGTATTCACTCCTAGGGCACAGCGCAGACTAGGCTGCTGCGTTGACGCAAGCTTTTCGATTGCATAGGCAACCCGGCCTCCCTTGGGCCTTTATAAGTACAAGTCCATACGTACTTCCGGACTCCACGTAGTACGGTCTGGACGCCTTCGGTGATCCGAGTCGCCGCATTGAGGCGCGCGCCCTCGGCAAATACTTGGAAATATGCATGCTCACTGTAGAGCCATTTCAGGGGGGCGATGGGGGGGAGCCTAAGGAAAGCTTGCTAGTATGTCAAACTCATTTTTGGCAGCGGCTCGCTCCAGGGTGTGCAGTGCATCTGCTGAGCACATGCAGCTGGTGCGACTTACCACTGGTGAATGGCAGCGTGAGCAGCGCGCGGACAAAGTCAGCTTGGCGCGCTAAATGCCTTCCTGGCACGTAGTGCACCGCCTAGCAACGCAGCGTTTTGTCTGTACGCATTTGAAGCAGTCGGCGCAGCACTGCACTGTGCGCGTTTTATTTGGGGATATGCGAAAGTCTGCTGGTGTATAGGACGGCGTACACAACATTCCACGTATTTCACGGCGTACACTGTGGCATTTGCGGGCTGCATACGCCGCCATCTACGTTTTCTGCCTGCACATGTGCCGTCCTGCTGCCCTGCGGCTCTTGCATGTTCATTTCCTATAGGCTTGTGATGATTCACATGAGGGGCGCACTGATTTGTGTAGCAGGCTGTTACAGTGCTCAATTGAACATTCATAATCTGCACTGCACGAAGATGAGTTGCAAAACCATGGCAGGTAGCTCAGTAGCTCGTCCGCAGAGTTGCAACTGAGGATTGTTTCAAAATTGTTACAGCTGAAAGCGCATCCAAATAGGACATGACCTGCTGTGACTACCCTATCTGCAGTGCAGTAGAAAGCGCAGGCCTGTGCTATGTAGACACGTGCAATGGGGCAGACACAGCGGCACACAGTCTGGGCCACACTGTCACACAATTTAAGTTGTGGTTTGTTGCATTCATCGCGCGGAAGGGGCAGCAGGGTCATGTGAGATGGGATTAGGGCTAGTAAGGCGAGGGTTAGAGTTAGGGCAAGGGTCAGCACTAGGGGTAGAGGTTGGGCTAGGGTTACGATGAGGGCAGGGGATTTCTAGTAGAATTAGGGCTAGGATGAGGGTTAAGGTCAAGGCTAGGGTGTTTTTAGGCTAGGGTGGGATAAGGCCTCAGGGTTGAGCATGAAAAAAGTTTTGCCCATAGGGTTAGGGTTAGGGATAGGGTTAGGGTTAGGGATAGGGTTAGGATTAGGTTCATGCCGTCAAACTACACATCTCGGCTACTCAGCAACAACGCAAGACACTATCACGGACAATTGGGCCGATGCACGAGTGAAAAAAAAGTAGGTGACATGAGAAGAAAACAGAGCAAAATATGCAGCACCAACGCTGCAAGAGACTGATCTTCGTTGCGGCGAGAAAATGTGAGTACTGCCGGAATCGAACCAGCGGCCTCTGCTTGGAAAGCAGAGATGTTGCCATTACACCAAGTACCCCAGATTTTTTGTAATACTCTCCCTGCTCCCCACGCCTCTCTGACGCGCGTCTGCTGCGAGTAGTACAGCACTAGTACTACTAGCGGTAAAGTGAATATAGTATCTCACCAGCGGCCTCTGCTTGTGAAAGCAGAGATGAGCCATTACACCAAGTACCCCAATCTTTTCTGCATCGCAACGACCATGCCCTTTTGACTCATGTGTCGTCTCCGACCCTGAGGTCACTGACAGTTTTCTGCTGCCACCATCATGATGGCACTGGCACTCGGCTGACGGCTGCCTTGGAGTCGGTGGATGCAAGGCCTTCACTAGCTCAGTAGTACTACAAGCTTGGTGACACTGACGAGGGCCCTGTACGATGCTGTAGACATATCTGGGCAATGCGCTAGACTATTACTTCTAGTAGGTAGGTACTGTAAGATACTACTGATAGCACCGCCTGGCCACTCAGCGGCGGCCCAGGCTGCTATGCGCAGTCACAGGGCGCTGCCATCTCGCCAGCGGCCTCTGCCTGGAAAAGCAGAGATGAGCCATTACACCAAGTACCCCAATCCTCTTTTCTGCATCACAATGACCATGCCCTTGTGACTCATGTGTCGTCTCCGACCCTGAGGTCACTGACAGTTTTCTGCTGCCACCATCATGATGGCACTGGCACTCGGCTGACGGCTGCCTTGGAGTCGGTGGATGCAAGGCCTTCACTAGCTCAGTAGTACTACAAGCTTGGTGACACTGACGAGGGCCCTGTACGATGCTGTAGACATATCTGGGCAATGCGCTAGACTATTACTTCTAGTAGGTAGGTACTGTAAGATACTACTGATAGCACCGCCTGGCCACTCAGCGACGGCCCAGGCTGCTATGCGCAGTCACAGGGCGCTGCCATCTCGCCAGCGGCCTCTGCTTGGAAAAGCAGAGATGAGCCATGACACCAAGTACCCTATTAATTTTTTACTACTCTCCCTTCTCCCCACGCCTCTCTGGCAGCGCTGACAGGTGGCAGTCAACCTCACTGACATCATATGATACTAGTAGGATCAGGCTGCTCCGTCATGGTGGCCTCCACGGTGACCTGTCAGTGAGTGATTTCAGCTGGCAGCGCACTGCACGGTGACTGCAGCTGCTGCCAGTAGCCCCGCTGACTCCCAGCCTGGGCTGGCACGCCCCGGGCCCGGCAACTGGGAGCTCAGTCACTGGTGCCGCCACTGTGACAGCATGATGTGGACTCCACACCAGCCTCAGGCTGAGGTGCGGGCAGTCACTGTGCTCCTACTAGTTGTGGTCTCATCTCACCAGCGGCCTCTGCTTGGAAAAGCAGAGATGAGCCATTACACCAAGTACCCCAGATTTTTTTTAATACTCTCCCTGCTCCCCACGCCTCTCTGACGCGCGTCTGCAGCGCTGACAGCCCAGCTGTGGCAGTCAACCTCGTGCTCACTGACAGGCAGCTGCTCCGTCATGGCGGCCTCGGAGTCCACCTGTCAGTGAGTGATTCAAGCGGGCAGTGCGGCACTGCACCGCAGCAGCCAGCAGCCCCACTGAGAGGCTGACACACCCCTGCAACTGGGAGCTCAGTCACTGGCGCCGCCGCAGCATGCTGTCCACACCAGGTGCGGGTAGTACAGCACTAGTACTACTAGCAGTAAAGTAAATATAGTATCTCACCAGCGGCCTCTGCTTGTGAAAGCAGAGATGAGCCATTACACCAAGTACCCCAATCCTCTTTTCTGCATCACAATGACCATGCCCTTGTGACTCATGTGTCGTCTCCGACCCTGAGGTCACTGACAGTTTTCTGCTGCCACCATCATGATGGCACTGGCACTCGGCTGACGGCTGCCTTGGAGTCGGTGGATGCAAGGCCTTCACTAGCTCAGTAGTACTACAAGCTTGGTGACACTGACGAGGGCCCTGTACGATGCTGTAGACATATCTGGGCAATGCGGTAGACTATTACTTCTAGTAGGTAGGTACTGTAAGATACTACTGATAGCACCGCCTGGCCACTCAGCGACGGCCCAGGCTGCTATGCGCAGTCACAGGGCGCTGCCATCTCGCCAGCGGCCTCTGCTTGGAAAAGCAGAGATGAGCCATGACACCAAGTACCCTATTAATTTTTTACTACTCTCCCTTCTCCCCACGCCTCTCTGGCAGCGCTGACAGGTGGCAGTCAACCTCACTGACATCATATGATACTAGTAGGATCAGGCTGCTCCGTCATGGTGGCCTCCACGGTGACCTGTCAGTGAGTGATTTCAGCTGGCAGCGCACTGCACGGTGACTGCAGCTGCTGCCAGTAGCCCCGCTGACTCCCAGCCTGGGCTGGCACGCCCCGGGCCCGGCAACTGGGAGCTCAGTCACTGGTGCCGCCACTGTGACAGCATGATGTGGACTCCACACCAGCCTCAGGCTGAGGTGCGGGCAGTCACTGTGCTCCTACTAGTTGTGGTCTCATCTCACCAGCGGCCTCTGCTTGGAAAAGCAGAGATGAGCCATTACACCAAGTACCCCAGATTTTTTTTAATACTCTCCCTGCTCCCCACGCCTCTCTGACGCGCGTCTGCAGCGCTGACAGCCCAGCTGTGGCAGTCAACCTCGTGCTCACTGACAGGCAGCTGCTCCGTCATGGCGGCCTCGGAGTCCACCTGTCAGTGAGTGATTCAAGCGGGCAGTGCGGCACTGCACCGCAGCAGCCAGCAGCCCCTCTGAGAGGCTGACACACCCCTGCAACTGGGAGCTCAGTCACTGGCGCCGCCGCAGCATGCTGTCCACACCAGGTGCGGGTAGTACAGCACTACTACTACTAGCAGTAAAGTAAATATAGTATCTCACCAGCGGCCTCTGCTTGTGAAAGCAGAGATGAGCCATTACACCAAGTACCCCAATCCTCTTTTCTGCATCACAATGACCATGCCCTTGTGACTCATGTGTCGTCTCCGACCCTGAGGTCACTGACAGTTTTCTGCTGCCACCATCATGATGGCACTGGCACTCGGCTGACGGCTGCCTTGGAGTCGGTGGATGCAAGGCCTTCACTAGCTCAGTAGTACTACAAGCTTGGTGACACTGACGAGGGCCCTGTACGATGCTGTAGACATATCTGGGCAATGCGCTAGACTATTACTTCTAGTAGGTAGGTACTGTAAGATACTACTGATAGCACCGCCTGGCCACTCAGCGACGGCCCAGGCTGCTATGCGCAGTCACAGGGCGCTGCCATCTCGCCAGCGGCCTCTGCTTGGAAAAGCAGAGATGAGCCATGACACCAAGTACCCTATTAATTTTTTACTACTCTCCCTTCTCCCCACGCCTCTCTGGCAGCGCTGACAGGTGGCAGTCAACCTCACTGACATCATATGATACTAGTAGGATCAGGCTGCTCCGTCATGGTGGCCTCCACGGTGACCTGTCAGTGAGTGATTTCAGCTGGCAGCGCACTGCACGGTGACTGCAGCTGCTGCCAGTAGCCCCGCTGACTCCCAGCCTGGGCTGGCACGCCCCGGGCCCGGCAACTGGGAGCTCAGTCACTGGTGCCGCCACTGTGACAGCATGATGTGGACTCCACACCAGCCTCAGGCTGAGGTGCGGGCAGTCACTGTGCTCCTACTAGTTGTGGTCTCATCTCACCAGCGGCCTCTGCTTGGAAAAGCAGAGATGAGCCATTACACCAAGTACCCCAGATTTTTTTTAATACTCTCCCTGCTCCCCACGCCTCTCTGACGCGCGTCTGCAGCGCTGACAGCCCAGCTGTGGCAGTCAACCTCGTGCTCACTGACAGGCAGCTGCTCCGTCATGGCGGCCTCGGAGTCCACCTGTCAGTGAGTGATTCAAGCGGGCAGTGCGGCACTGCACCGCAGCAGCCAGCAGCCCCACTGAGAGGCTGACACACCCCTGCAACTGGGAGCTCAGTCACTGGCGCCGCCGCAGCATGCTGTCCACACCAGGTGCGGGTAGTACAGCACTAGTACTACTAGCAGTAAAGTAAATATAGTATCTCACCAGCGGCCTCTGCTTGTGAAAGCAGAGATGAGCCATTACACCAAGTACCCCAATCCTCTTTTCTGCATCACAATGACCATGCCCTTGTGACTCATGTGTCGTTCTCCGACCCTGAGGTCACTGACAGTTTTCTGCTGCCACCATCATGATGGCACTGGCACTCGGCTGACGGCTGCCTTGGAGTCGGTGGATGCAAGGCCTTCACTAGCTCAGTAGTACTACAAGCTTGGTGACACTGACGAGGGCCCTGTACGATGCTGTAGACATATCTGGGCAATGCGCTAGACTATTACTTCTAGTAGGTAGGTACTGTAACATACTACTGATAGCACCGCCTGGCCACTCAGCAACGGCCCAGGCTGCTATGCGCAGTCACAGGGCGCTGCCATCTCGCCAACGGCCTCTGCTTGGAAAAGCAGAGATGAGCCATGACACCAAGTACCCTATTAATTTTTTACTACTCTCCCTTCTCCCCACGCCTCTCTGGCAGCGCTGACAGGTGGCAGTCAACCTCACTGACATCACATGATACTAGTAGGATCAGGCTGCTCCGTCATGGTGGCCTCCACGGTGACCTGTCAGTGAGTGATTTCAGCTGGCAGCGCACTGCACGGTGACTGCAGCTGCTGCCAGTAGCCCCGCTGACTCCCAGCCTGGGCTGGCACGCCCCGGGCCCGGCAACTGGGAGCTCAGTCACTGGTGCCGCCACTGTGACAGCATGATGTGGACTCCACACCAGCCTCAGGCTGAGGTGCGGGCAGTCACTGTGCTCCTACTAGTTGTGGTATCATCTCACCAGCGGCCTCTGCTTGGAAAAGCAGAGATGAGCCATTACACCAAGTACCCCAGATTTTTTTTTATACTCTCCCTGCTCCCCACGCCTCTCTGACGCGCGTCTGCTGCGGGTAGTACAGCACTAGTACTACTAGCGGTAAAGTGAATATAGTATCTCACCAGCGGCCTCTGCTTGTGAAAGCAGAGATGAGCCATTACACCAAGTA